GGGCAGGAGCGATATTAAGGGAGCGAAATTTTGGCTCTGAACTTCAATCGAGAGAAGAGAGTTGCATGCAGAAACGATATTGAGGGAGCGAAATTCTGCCTATGAAATTTTGGCTCTGAACTTAAATTAGAGAAGCGTATAAAGGAAGGGTTTGGGAATAAAAGAAATAGAAGAAAGGGTAAAAATATCTTTTCATATTAATTTTAATAGAATAGTGGCTATTTTTGCTCAACATTAGAATTGGTGGATAAAAAATAAACACCACCTTATTTAGTGGCTACCACACGTCATTTTTACCGCACATGGAGCCCCATTACAGGTGCTAATTAATACCTATAATTTTCAGGGCGAATATGTAATTGTTACTTCTGACTTGATCGATATATAATTGAAAATATTTACTTATGTTACATGTACGCTCATTGTCACAAAAGAATAGTTGGTAAAATAGAAATTCACATTGTTGATTTAAAATTTTGAATTCATGTTTGACAACAGCGCAAAGGTATGCAATGTGCACTATGGTCATATTAACATAAGCGGATCCAGGATTGAAAATTTATGGGTTCCTACATCAATCTCAAGTTAATACATCATAATAATTTGACTAAAGAACAAGTACCGATTCAACACATATTTAATAAATTTTTTAATACAAATATGAGATCTGGGCAAAAGCTACTGGGTTCCCGAAAATCCATACTCATACCTCTAGATCCGCCCCTGACCATATACCTGCCTAATTTTGTCAAATTAATCAGAAGGTGATATAGACGTCTGAAAAATAAAAATCATTAGAGTTCATAGCAAAGATTGATTATTGACACGCACAAAAATTATTTCCATATCTTAATAATGACAATTCAAAGAGCACATATATATAAGCTTAACAATACACAACCTAAATATTTTCAATATTGGAAAAAGTATACGAATATCTATGTAATTACACTTACACTTGGATGAAGCTTAACAACACAACGTCCACTTTGATAATATGATTGATCTAATCAAGGATTTGGTGAGAAAGAAAAAGTTTTTTTGGCAGACAAAAAATTAATCGCAAATATTATTTCATTAAGAGCTTTAATTTATAATATCACTGAACCCTAAAGTCCTAAACGCTATTCCCTGAAGAAGACATGTACGGTTAACACTTTTTCCTGTCCAATTTTATATATTCCTTTGATTATGCTGTCAATTATTCTTCTGCCATCCAAATTTGCCTAATTATTTTTTGAAGAATGAATAGATAATCTCAAAATACTTTTTTCAAAAAAGCAGGAACAGAAAATAAAAAAATATAACAACAACAATAATCCAGTAAAATTTTACAAGTGGGTCTGAGGAGAGTAGTGTATACGCAGACCTTATCAGTTATCCCTACCCCGAGGAATAAAGAGGTTATTTTCAATATACCCTCGGAATGACAAAATAAAAATAATAATAATAATAATAATAATAATAATAATAATAATAATAATAATAATAATAATAATAATAATGTTATAATTAATCTTATTTAATTTTTCTTCTTACCTCGTTGAAAGAAAAACGTAAAAAATGAAGTGTAATCACTCTTGTAACGTTTTCTTTAATAGTGAAGAGTTAAAAAAAATATGAAGCAAAACAATAAAGGAATATATACCATCAGAAATGTTTTTTTTTTTGTTGAAAATATATTTATATAGCTAGCAAAAATTGCACAGTTAAGTCATTGTTGGGGTACTGCAGGACCCCTATTGCAGCATTGTTTTGGAGAATTATTTCCATATTACAACCCACAAAAAAACTAACCAAATGAGTTCCTGTCTGTCTAAAATACATCATTGGCAAACATCGGAGGAGCTGATAATATGCTATATGTATTCAAAAAGATTGCTTTTGTTGTTTCCTTGGCCAAAGCATCTCCCCACCCTATTCTGCTCCCGGTAAGTGTGCTTCACCACGACCTTGTCCATCCTGCGTATTAAGGAACTGCATTCACCAATTATAGGATCGTAAGTGAGGTTACCTGTTATTAGCATTTGTATGATTTCAGCTGAGTCAGTATTAATTTCAAGAGGAACCAAATTATTTTGTTCCGCAAGTTAAAGTCCTTTTAGGAGGGCCTTCAGCTCTGCCACAGTGTTGGTTGTATGGGAGATATTTTTCATAAACCCAATTATCCAATCTCCATTGTGGTTTCTGAAAACTCCACCTATACCTCCTATTTCTGGGTTCTCTTTAGCTGCTCAATCCGTATTAAGTTTGTAGAATCCTCTCCTTGGTGGCTCCCATTTGATTATGATTTGGTGTGTTATTTTGGTGGAAGCATTTTTAGTCAACATAAGGTATTCTGTGGCGTTGGAGATGGTGTTGGAAGAGTTGACAAGCTCTTTTTTTTCATTAAAGAAGTTGTTATTTCTGATTAACCAGATATGCCAGAAACATAAGGGGATGATGTTTTCCCAGAGAATGAGACTATTGAAAGACTTTTTCCTAATTGAACTCCGAGTTGATGGCCATTGTTGGGCTGAAAAGATTGGGTTCTGCTATCTAATATTCCTAGATGTTTTGGAGAGTAGGTCGTTCCAAAAGCGTACTGCATTGGTGCACTCAAAGAAGATGTGGTCGATTATTTCTTGACCATTATTGCAGTAAGAGCACCAGGGGTCACAGTTGACACCTATTACGTGGAGATAACTCCTTGTGGGAAGCCTTCTGTGGGTAAAAAGCCAGATGAAGTTCTTTATTTTACTGGGTGCTTGGAGCTTCCATATCCATTTGGAGGATCCTTTCTCATCAATCTCAAAACTATTATTAGCCTTGTTAAGAAAAGAGTACGCATGACTGTTTGAGTAGTAGCCATTGGTAGTTAATCCCTAGATGAGGATGTCCTCTTTAGTTGGATTTGGTGGAATGAAAACACAGTTTAACAAGTTGAGGATGCTAGGGGGGAGATCCATGGATAAAGTGGATAGGTCCCAAGCCCCTAAATTGTAGACTGAGTTCACCTTGGCATTTAAGAAAGCGGGCCCTCAATCAATTCCCTAATTGCCGTTTGATTAGGTATCCAAGCATCATTCATAAAGCTGACCCTATTTCCTTTGTGAACTACTCATCTGCTTGCTTTACTGCAAGTGTTCCATCCCTTTAGAATGCACTGTCATGTAGGGGATTTGGGGTATCTAGGATATCTAGTGGTTCTCATTGTTCTTTGTGTTTGGCTCAGGTTGCAGTGCTTGTGAATGAGGATTTTTGCCCATAAGATATTGGTATTTTGGTAAGTCCTCCTGGCAAGATTTGTGAGGGCTGCTTTGTTCTTTAGAAATGTTGAACTATAATACCAACGCTAACAAGAACACTAAGAAAAAAGATGAAAGGAACAAAGTAGGAGGAGGTGATGGAACTTGTTGAATTTAAAACACAAAAAAGAGAGAAAGAAAAGAAAGAAAAAAAAGCTTATCATTAAGAACTCAGTGGCACAAGTTCATTTGTGCTCGAAGTATTTGATTAAATTTTGAGGAAAAAAAAGTTGTTGAATAGAGTAAAATTGTGGTCTTTCTTTTTCTCATTAAGAAAAAGCCAAAATAGCATCAATAAGGTGGTTATAATAATAATAATAATAATAATAATGGAATTTTACTTTAGCTTAAAATATTATAGGCAATAAGCAACGGCCATTAGACAACCGTCCCTACAAATACAATCATCATTTTAAAGTTTTCTTTTTGTATTGGCAAACATCCCATCACTTGTATCAATTTGCACTAGTTTAATTGGGATTATTATTCTCTTCCTTAATTATTATATATGTGCTTCAATGTTAGTTTCATAATCTCCGGGATATTAAATTATTAAAAGGATTTTTATGAATATCTAAAGCTTTTGATTTCCTTTCCTATTCACTTTTATGAGATTTAACTTTGTTAGAAAGAAAAATTGGAAAGAATGTCTAGAACAAAACGTGGAGTGTATATAATAGTTCCCCAAAATTATTTAAAAAAAAAGACTTAACTTTTATGATATGTTAAAAAGTATAAAACACTTTTTACCTGTCAATCCAGTGCTATATCGAAACATAATTAACCACTTTACAAACACTTTTTTTTAAAAGCAAAGTGATTCCTCAAGCCACAAAATTTATTACAAAATGTGCAAAAATATTGGGGTGGGAAACGGGCGGGTCGGGTCGGATATGAGCGGATTCAAACGGGTAATTTTAAAAACGAATAAATTATCTGACCGACCCGTATTTGGGGCGGATAAAATATGGATTTATCCGGCGGATGATATGGATATTCAATTATATACGCAACTTTTGTTGATTAAAGATTTTACCTTTACCTTCTAGCCATTATGTACTTAACTTGATCTTAGATTGTACTTTATTAATTGAAATAACAAACAACTTTTCCCAAAAACTTGTTTGGATGGTTGTTACCAATTTTATTTTATTTATTACTTTAAATATAATATTTATTTTGATTGTTACTTAAATTTCATTGTATCATATCGTCAAATCCATTGTTACGTTACAACGAAAGTGTCACTTTATATAACGACCGATTTGGTGCGATCGCGTCGTTACCTTTTTTTTTTCTTTTTCTATCTTGCCCTTCCTTATTACTCCTATTAAATAATCATATTTTATATTTTATTCTACCTTTTTAATATAATATTTTTATCGCATACCGTACTTTTCTTTGTAATATTGTAAGTTTAATTTTCATAATTCCGATGCATAACATTATGAAATGATGACAAAGTATATCATTTATCAAAATATTATTTTCAGTAAAACAGTAAAATATAATATAATATAAAACGAGGTAGTCACCCTCCAAACAAACTGTGAAAGGAGGAATTTAGCTTAGAACTTAACTCCTATTTTCTCCTAAACTTTTATGAAGTGGGAAGAGTCAAGATTCCTAAACTTTTATGAAGTTGGTCCTTTTTTGTCTCCTCTCCCCAATTTAATCTTTATTTTTTCTTTTTATTCTTCAGATTTTTTTTTTGTTCTTCCTTTTTCTTTTATTCTTTTATTCTCTATTCTTTTTTCCCCACTAATAGCTTACTGCCACTACTCTCTTTCTACTGAAAATCCTGAAGAGAAAAAAACAAAGACCAAAATTGTCTTGAAGATATTTCCAGTTTTAAGATTCTGGGGTGGGTTCTAATTATAGTGTAGTCAATTCCCTGATTGACGGATTTGACAAACTTTTTACAAAGACAAAACCCTTTTTAATTTGAAGATATGTTGAAAGGCGGTTGGGTTAGTTTCTGTTGTTTTAACCCACTTGTCCTACAATAAAAGTATCACAAACCAAACTCTTTGTTTGTCCTGTGTTTTTTTAACTAATATAGGAAAATCTTTTTTCTGCTCTGCTTTAGCTTCACTTCCACACTGTTAGAATATTCCCTCTTTCTATCTGTTCTCAAAAGGTACAATCTTTTCTACTTTGGATCCCTCAATTTTGTATTTTTAGACTATCAATGTTAATGACTTATTTCCTATGTACATAAAGTTTTAGTTTTTCTTAAGGATTGATAGTATTTAGATCTGTGGTTTTGGTGGAAATTGAGTTTTAAGTTATTCCTTGTTTTTAATTTACAGGTATAGTTCAAAATTGATTGACTTGTGTGCAGTGTTGGAAAAGATGAATGGTGCTGTTTTAGTTGCGCTTGCCGCAACCATTGGAAACTTTTTGCAGGGTTGGGATAATGCTACTATTGCTGGTACACATTCTTTACTCATTGTTGTAAATATTATCTTTCCAATTATTTTAGTTTGTTTTGATGGAATGACATTTATATGATTGTTATTTTATTGAAGTTGTCAGATAGTTCAATGCAGTGTTTCTGCTATTTCAGCTATTATATTGTTTTCTTCTCATTGTGAATCTAAAACTAAAAAACCTTTACATGTTCTTGCATATTATTTATTAGTATTTTCTATCCATATGTATTCCTAGTTGCATTCTTTTCTCAAACATGTGTAGAATTAGTAATTTTTTCTATCACTATTTAGTCCTAGTTGCATTCTTTTCTCAAACATGCATAGAATTAAAGTATTAGAAGAGTCATGCATTGTTTCTTGGTATTCTAACTATTTAAACTTGCAGGAGCTGTTGTATACATAAAGAAGGAACTTACTTTGGATGCTTCAGTGGAAGGACTTGTTGTTGCTATGTCACTCATTGGAGCGACGCTTGTCACAACTTGTTCTGGAACCATATCGGACAGCTTTGGTCGTCGCCCTATGCTTATCCTCTCATCCATGTTTTATTTCCTCAGTGGCTTAATAATGTTGTGGTCACCTAATGTTTATGTCCTGCTTATAGCTAGACTCTTAGATGGGTTTGGGATTGGATTAGCGGTTACACTTGTCCCATTATATATTTCTGAGACTGCTCCATCGGAAATACGAGGGTC